GGTAAGGTTTCATGTCCAAGTTATAACTCATCCATAAACTTGATAACTTGAAAAATGCACAGTTGAGTTTAATGATCATTGATAGTGGACGATTTAACAGTCACATAACAGCATGAGAAAGTCCCAGCAGTATGACTACCTCAAAATCAATACTGAAAGTTATTTATATTCCGACTTTTTTCCTTGTTCGACATAATCAGTTTCCTTCTATTTGTTATTACTCGCAATATGCAGGTCGTGGGTTCGAATCCCCGTCATCATACATACTCGCTCTTTCAGCTGTGGGGATGTTATAATGTAACGGTCAACCCCACTGTTCGTTGGTAAAAGAGTAACCCAAGGTTTGACGGTGGGTCTATCACTTCCAAATCTATAGTCTATTTCTGTGTGCGCTACCACCATGGTACCTTACACTTAACATTATAATCATAGAATTTATCGACGTACGTTATTGTTTTTTTACGCTACTCTTGTAATGTTTGTATAACTTTGATAAAGTGCTTGCATATTCAGGACATTAATACAACTTGGTTTGATACTGAATCTACAGGACTCGCGTCTGCAATGGACAGGCTTTCAATGTTTTAACTCATTGGTTCGTTACGTTGTCTTCATAATTTGTATAACTAGCAGATATACCCGGGCATCCACAATGAGAGGTTTGAGATAGATAACAAAACATTTATATGATCAATGTATTGATTTTATAGAAAAGAGTCGCTGTTTCGTTTTATCTATGGCTACATCTTTCTAGAGTTTGTAGATATGTATGCAGAAACCTGTCTAGGGTGGTATGTAGTTACTCTATTACTATGGGTGCCATGTCTAAAGAGACTTAAGGCCCATTGGTCCTAAAACAACTGCTATCTTTATGGGGATGAGAGGTTTACTTTTGTTCTGTAGTGACTAAAAAGCTTTGAAAAGCAAGTAACAAGAGCCAATAACAAGTTAAAAAAATTAAGTAACGATTTTTATTTTATCATATATCAAGTTGCTAAAAGAACAACAAAAATAACGACATTTCTAACCCTTCTTTTGAGTATTTCATCGATTCTGTGAAGTAATGTATCTATTGTGTTATCTCTGAATTGGTATTGTTTTAAATTAAAAATGCCTCTCCTTCCACTAAGTAAAATCACTATTTTATTATGATAATAATGATTTCTGAAAGATTGGTAACATGTGGATCCAAAGCTTATTCGATGGTTACATTAGAATTTCTAGATTAATCTTTCCTAAATGGAAATTATTAAAAAATGGAGATATCCCCTCTATGAACATAGCAATGGGGACTGCTCTACAGCCCTAAACACCATTAGTCCTAGGGTTCAGTCTAAGACCTATTTGTTCTAATTATGATCCATCATATTAACATATGGTGAAGTCTTCTGAATTTGTAAATAAAAGTAGAATTTTGCGTGTGAAAGTAAGAGAACTAAAGGGAAGGAAACAAAACAAAGCCAAGTAACTGAACAATAGGAATGCCATGTATGTTTTGTGGTGTATCAAGTGAACACATTTAGGCTTAATCTAGAAATTCGAAATAAAACAAAACGAAGCCAATTAAATGAACAATAGGAATGCCATGTATGTTTTGTGGTGTATCAAGTGAACAATTAAGAGATGCATTTGACTTGTCTATGATAGTTAATAGTACTTCATTAATGAAAGGAAAAATATTTACATGTTCTTTATTACATGCTAATAGCAAGTTGTGTAGTAACAGACTTACATTCACTACAAAAGTAAAGTGAGTACTTTTTATTTCATAGAAGCATAACGTTGTGCTTAAATATTTGTTATGAGGTGTTTATATGTTTATATCATTGAGTATTAAAATATTTGTTCTGAGGTGTTTGTATGTTTATATCAATCAACATTGAAATAACGGTTTAGTGGTGTTTATATTGTTACGTATCTGCTTGTTTGATAATTTTTGGTAGAAATTCTTTCCGAGGAACCTCAGCGATACAAGTCCTTTCTTGATTAAACCAGTTTATTATTTCTCGATACAAACTTTTAGTACACAGTAATTTCATAATCAGTACGTCACTTTAAACTTAACTACTTTTATAATACACGCTATAAATCACAACGATTCACAAACAAAACACACACTAGCTCGAAACGGAATCGTAAATTACCCGGAACTCTCTTCATTCAATCATTCCCGCAGGCTTTCACTGCCAGGCTTATATACTAAAGAAGGGGGCGTTCCGATTACACTAGGGCCTCCCCCATCATTCATGATCATTCGAGAAATTCATCACGTGCCACCAGATCACGTGACTTCCGCTGTCGTAACACTGCCCCTTCCTTAGTATTGTTCGTTCCTAA